GGCCCCCCCCCCCCCCCCGAGAGAAAAAAAAAATCTCAGAAATAATCACGCCGTAAGACTCAGCCTCAAGCGGGAAAAAAGCCGCGAGGGTTTGTGCCGAAAACAAGAGGTTCTCGGCTGTTGTGCTGCGGTCTGTAGGGATGTTTCAAATGAGAGGTGTTGCTCGGAATTAGAGACAAACAAATACTGGTACTTTCGAAGAGCCTGCGAAGCAGGTGTTTTACACCAAAATTTTATTTTCGGACGGCCGGGCAATGGCTGAGTGGTTCTCCGGAACTTGCTCGAAATGCCTTTAAGTTGGTGGAGACCTTCGTGCATCTTTCACCCTCAGGTCCACCCTATGACGTCGCATGCACAGCGGCAGCACAAGCGGTCCCCATCGATGTGGCACCGACTCACTTCTTGTTCCCTGCGTTATCTTGTTCCCGTGTTTTGTACGTATTTTTGCGCGAAGATGGAGCAGCAGACGAAGGGTCACGCGGTGATGGCGGTGGCGGCGGCGGCGGCTGCTGCCCAAGGACCCAGGCGCCACGGGTTGGTCGACTTGACTCCGCATTCCTCAGCCGCCGCACCAGGAACAAGTGCGACAGGGCAAGGGGGAGCTGCGGCAGCACCGCCAGAAGGAGGAGAAGCCAACGGGGCGCCGGAGAACGGCGTCGGGAAAAGGGCGAAACCGATTACGAGAAAAACGCCGGTGCCGCTGTGGAAAGCCAGGGACATCCTCCTACAAGCGGTCAGCGACAGCGGCGGCGAGTCGGAGTTCCTGCAGGCCCACTCGGCGTTTTCATCAATATATCGGGGGATGGGGAGGGAAAGAAGGAGCCCTCCTGTCAGCGGCGAAGACGTCGGAGACGACTTTGAGCACGTCTTCTCGATACGGCTAGAGGTGCGTTCGTCTCATGCGCAGGCGGGCAAGTCGGGGGGGGTCGTGGATGCTTCTCTGTGGGCATGGGTATAGCTGTAGTCGACCCGGCAGTAGAAATGCAAATTTTTCTTCTGACAAGGCTTTCCAGTCGCGCGAAGCGTATTGCGCTCTGGGGAGGATAGTTCACCATCCCCGGGGTCAACGGAGGGAGGTTCGCTTTGTTCAAATGGTATACAGATAGCGCCCAGAATTCCGGACCATTGGCTTTGGCCGAGCCTGAGGTTGTAATTTCAAATGGTCGCTATATAGGTTTTAGTGTAGGGGGTCTCAAGCGGGCTCACAATGGTGCTTAAGTTCGTTGTTTTGACATCCTGCTGTTGATCATGAAGTGTTTACATGTAGCTGCGGAGAGTTTATTCATTGCGGGCGCTGTTGCTCGCCGTGGTGACTCGCCATGCTCGGGTACAACTCAAGAGCGAACCTTTTCAAAACGTGAGTAGGTTGTTCATGTGAAGATAACAGCAACAACAACAGACCTCGACCTTGTGTAGGACATTTTGTGGCTCATGACGCTTGCCTGCCGTGTCGAACAGACCTCGCTCTTGATACTGTACAAGAAGGTGTTGCTCTACCCTGGGTGTGGTCACACTCCTCGACATTCCATCCAGGCTGTATCGAATGCTTGATTTGTTTTCTTCGTATTTTTCCTTCGCCAACCCTCACGCGGTGTGTCCCTTCCCTCCCCGTGGGAAAAACGTTGTTCCTTGATTGATTCGTGACTTGCACCGCACCCTTCTTGCCGCGCCAACGAAGCAAACCGGGAAACACACTAAGCGCTGCCTATGTACATACGCTGTTCGGAGATCAGTAGATTCACGGGTTCGCCGTAAAACACTGGGAATCCGTTTTTGCTGTGGTATTTTACCCTGGTGCTCTTTTTATCTGCCGATAGAGACGAAAATTGCGCTACATGTTTGGAAGAAAAATAAAGTATAAAAAAAAAAACGAATGAGAAAACAAGACGATGAAACGACCGACCTAAAAACGCCAACAACAGGTGCTCGTGGACACCGAGGAGCTTGGCCAGAACGAGCAGGACGCGCCCCTGGCATGGTTCGGTGCGCAGCCACCCCCTCGCTCTGCTCGCTGCTCGCCACCGAGCCGCTCGTCCGAGTTTTTAGAGGACGACCCGACCCTCCCCAGGTCGTTCCTGCGGAGCCCCCCCCCAAGCAGCGTCTCCGCGTCGCGCGGCGATAGCGACGAAGGTCGCGACGCCTGCGATGGCGGAGGAGGAGGAAAGGGACGTCTGGTGTTTGGTGGAGATGAAGCCGGCGCTGCTACTGCTGCTTCCGGGATCGCGGCGGCCGGGGTGGGCGCGGCGCACGTGCTCACGGGCCCGGGGAGGATGGAGGACGGCGCGTGGGAGGAGGCGTCGTCTGCCTGTGCGGGGATGAGGTGAAGAGCTCAGAAAAGTGTCCAGTAGGTAGAAAGGAAAGGAAAGCAGGGCAGAGGCAGAGTGCGACTCCTTCTCTCGGTCGAGGGGCCCCGTGCTACGTAGTACTTTCCCGGGTACCCCCCAATGTGAACGGCATGGCAGTTCGATTTGTTTCTATGAATCTCGGTTGATGTTGTTGTCTACGCCTTAAACTAACCTGCCCCGGAACAAACAGGACAGAGGCAGAGGCGTTATTTGTGCTTCCGGACCGCAGGCACAGGGATCGGAGCTATGTTGTTGTGTTGCACGAAAAAGGAGGTAGAGGTGTAGTATAGCCTTGCACGGAAATCGGAACAGCGTTGTTGTTGTTGCGCGAAGTGGCACAGGCGTACCTCATTGAAAGGATGGTGTCAGAACGGTGGAACGAACTTCTGGCAGGGCTTGCTTGCTTGCTCGCCGCGGTGAGGGGGTGGGGGGGGGGTGTACTCATAGTCGTGCATGCCGTAGTCGTTAGACCATTGACCTCGCATCCCTACAAAGCCGGGACGGAGCACGCCGGGTTCTCACCGGGCCAGGCTCTGGGGTGGGGGGAGGGGTACTCATGACAAAGCATGCCATAGTCGTTAGACCTTAGACATCGCATCCCCATGTACAACGCCGGGACGGAGGAGCGATATGCCTTCCGGGTTTTCGCCGGCCCAGCCTTCGTTACACGGGGGAGGGCGGGGGTTATATTTCTACCCCGCTCAGGGTTGGTCGTGCCCCGTTGCTTTGTTTTGGCGATAGGCGGTGTCAAGACAAGGGCAAGGGTAATTTCGTTGTCGTTGATTCGTTGTGGTCTGCTTCCACGTCTCGGCTGAAGCAACTATTTCCCCGGTCATTTTTTTTTGTGTGTGTGTCGAAGGTACCCGCCGTGTCTTTGTAGGCAAAGGGCGGGAGAAGGAGCAGGCGGTGTTGCGGGTTGAGTCGGGCGTTGCCTTGTTTGTTTGCTCCGCTTATTTCTCCCGAACAAAGGTGTCGCAGCAGCGGCGGGGAGGGCGGTACCGAGGCAACAACTGCTGAATGTGGTTTGCTGTTGCCCCAGCCCTTGTTCTTCGTATGCGCACGGCGTTGCACTCGAGCAGAAGCTTTCGCCTGGGGGCAGAACCTACGAGGTTTGCCTCTGGATCGTTAACTTCCCGTCCCCGTGTGGTGTTTCGGGCAGGTACTACGGCGGAGCGCGATTCGAACCTCTGTCAAGAAAACGACGTTCATCGGGAGGAGCCGTAGCAGCAGCGAGAGGTGCTGGTGCTAGCAGTGAGGGAGGCGTCTCGACAGCAGAGGACATGGGCGAACCGTCCGCTTGTTGGCGCGCCTACGGCGGGCACTGGCTTGTGCTTCCGCAGGTGGAACTGTCTAGCGGTGAGACCAAACGACCACTTTTGTCTTTGACGATAGTGTGTTATTGTGTTGTAGCGAGAGCTTGTTCGCTCGTGCATGGCCAAATCCGGGAATAGGAGCGAGAAGTTGGTTGCGAGTTGGCTAGATCCTGGCTAGCCAATCTTGTTCATTTAGCGGATTCTGTATTTGCTGCTGCTTCTTCTCCTACCGCTACTGTTTTCGTGGAAAGGCTGCGATGTATAGCAGCGTTTCCCACCGATGAGCATGTTGTCGTTGCGGCTGGTGGCCCCGTGTGTCGAAAAGTTCGAGTGGTAACCCCCCACCATCACCTCGAACAAGTATCGGGGTACCTGCAGTCAGTCGAGGCCGTGGTCGCCCCTGTGCAATGAGGGGTACACGCATAATGAAGAGTGATCCCCTCTTTCCCTCGCCTGGTAGTCACTTGTACGCATATCAACCCCCGGTCTGCTTACTGCCTCCACTCTCCCGCCGCTCTTCTATTTTTCCTGCTGGACTTTTTGACCTCGACTTACCAGTTGCGGCTGCTCAGGCTGCTGGCGAGCGGCCAGCAGCGGTTCTCGCGGTCAACCTTCGCTGGACCGACGCTGATAGGAGCACCACCCCAGCCGTGGCTTCCACTGGCAACACCACTGCTGTCCGCAACAGTAAAGGCGGGGTAGGAGGGGAGAGGAGGGGTGATGTCGGGGAAGAGAGACCCGCCGCCGCCGGTAGCGGTGCTTCGGACGTGGGTTCACCGGCACCAGCACCATCGGAAGCATCATTCGCCTCAACGGCGGCATCGACGGGCTCCGCTGCCGCGGCGATCGGCGCTGTAGAGGGATACGGTTGCGAGCGAGACCGACAACGCTCCGTTTCGGGGGCGGTAGCAGCAGCAGGAAGAAGGGGCCGACAGCCAGGAGGGCAGGATGAGGGGGGGGGTGGCGGGGGACTAGCCGCCGCCCGGGCGGGGGCGGTGAGGACTCTGTCGAGGATGGCGTGTCGTTACGCTAGGCCCGGGACGGAGGCGGAGCTCCCGCTCCCGCTCACTGCGGGGGAAGATGGCGACCCGGTAGGTTCGTGTTGTGCATGTGTTTGTGGGGCGTGGTCTCGCGTGCCGTTGCCTTATGTATTCGAACCGTTGGTGCTGGCGTATTTTTTAGCCCGATTGCTCCACAACCAACGTCTCGGGAAAGCTCTCGGTGCTATCCTACCCTTTCGGCCGTTGGTGGTGAGGGTGCTGACCTCGCTGTGCAACGAATCAGTCACGGGCAGGAAGTTCTGGAGATGGAACGAGGCCACGTTGCGCTGGCAATATTGAGAGCGGCGTTGTCTGCCTGTCTGGCTGCCTGTGTAACGTAAAAAAGGCGCGACCACGCTCTGGTTGGTCGGGGTGTTTTAGAAGACAGAACCAGTCAATAGCCGGGCGCTTAGAGCAAATCCCACGGCAGGGATGGTTGGGGAGTGTACTCATTTTCGTGCATGCCTTAGTCGTTGGACCATTGGCCTCGCAGGCGGGTTGGGGGGGATCTTTCTGGTATTAACTGCTGAACTTGCCTGTCATGTCACACCCGGGGAGGCGTGTTTATTTTTTCGGTGTGTTTGTGTTTGTCGTTTTTTTTTTTCGCTGTTTCAGGTGACGAACACGGAGGGTCCGGAGTACCGAAGGTGGGAGAGGGGCATCGAGCGCGCCCTGGACGATATGGACAAAGAGAGGTACGTACGCTTGGGTGACGTTGAACCGTACATCCGCGCCTCTTGCAGGTCGAGGCCTTTACATTTAGTGCTCGTTTCCTGACAATAGTCTCCCAGGCAGTTGTAGCTTCCACGATCGGCCTGTCAATCTTCCCCCCTACATGTAGGAGCATTGTTCAGATCCTTGCACAGGTTGAATCCCATAAGGCAACAAGTAGACCGACAGGTTGATGGCGGACCTATGTACAACTCCATGAGACAAGACATGGTTGAAAGTGGAGTGAGGTACGATCAAATTTAAGGTTCGCCGTATGCATAGGAGGAAATAATGTCAAGTGTTTGGACAAAAAAAGATTGCGACCAAGCGCAGCCTGGCTTGCTCGTTTCGCTCCACAACACGAGAATGAAGACGGAACCATGGATTTCCCGTGGGTGACGACGCGCTTCACGATTGAGTTACAAAAACCTGGACACCCTTAACTAGAAACGGCCGCAACAATTCTCTACCACAGCATCAACAAGAACAACAAGGTGCAGTAACTTTCAACACATGCACAGCGGCCACATCAACACGAAAGCACTTCCGCTGCGAACGAACACACTAGGTACTGCAAGGTGGTCCTGGCCCGCACGGCCCGGTTGCGGTTCGCGGGAACCCTTTCCCCGCCGGACGTGCTGGCGCGCTTCAGGGGGCACTACGGCTTCCTATTCTGCCTCCAGGTGATTGGTCGACTGGATGACTCGACGACAACTGCTGGTGTAGGCCACCTGTGGAATATTTTGAACGTCCTATGGATCTTCACAACCTTTTCACGGATAACCGTGTAAATATCGAAAGACACGAAGCGAACGACTGATCCCACTTGTTCTGCACAAAACCTGGGCGCCAACAACGGCAGCACGGCGAGCTCGATCTGTAGGCAGGGAAATTCACCACAACACAAGCAGATTTTGTCTGGATGACGCCAACGCAGCCAAGCGCGTATGCATAGCCGCCGAGTTTACCTCCCACCCACGGATGCTCTTCCACCCCCTCCCCCTTTGTCCTACGGGCAGCCTGATGCGAGCACAGCGTTCTTGGGGTGCACGCCGGAGCGTCTTTTCCTGTCGAAGGGCTCGACGGTGGTGACGGAGGCGTTGGCGGGTACGAGGGGGAGGGGGGACACGACAACCGAGGACGAGCGGCTGGGCGAGGAGCTCATGGACAGCGAGAAGGTTCGTGGGGGGGGGCGGGGGGGGGACGTGGGGTGTTTGCGTTTGAGCGAGGCAGACAGACAGACAGACAAGACAGACAGACAGACAGAGCCAGAGGTCCAGTGCAGAGAGTGGCATGAGTGGCGGTGGCGTTGTATGTGAGTTGTTCGGCGAGAGAGAGAGAAAGAGAGAGAGAGGAGATAGAGACAGACAGACAGACAGACAGACAGACAGACAGAACAGACAGAGGGAGGCAAAGCTCCAGTGCAGAGAAAGCGCTGCGCTACACTGTGTTTCACAAAGATGAGTATTCGGAATCGGTTGCTTCATACAAGCAACCGGGACGATGCTTAGAGCTGGGGAGGGCGTCGCTGTCTCGACTACTGCTCTTGCTTGTGCTGGAGTTGTTCTCCTGGGTGCATATTGTTTTGGGCTGCTGTGGACGCTCTTGTTGTGTACATCGGGTCTGAAAACCCTTCGTGCATGCATACCATTGCGATATGTTCCCCTCTCGACCAATGGCAACGGTGTTCACGTTCGTGGTTGCAATGCCTCGGCCTGCCTTGCTATTCGCCAGGACATGCGCGAGAACGCAATCACGGCAGACTACGTGTCCGCGGCGCTGCGGAAGGCGGGGGCGGTAACGCTTGACTGTTCGGAGCCGTCGTTGAAGCGCCTGACTCACGTCCAGCACATCTGCAGGTAGGCAAACAGCGAAAGAACCATGACTGCGGGGTTTGTTGTCGCCATTGTGTGCAGCCGTACGGGGATCGGAGCCGTACGCATAGGTACAATATACGTTGTTTGACGGCCATCCCGTTCTGCGTCTGCTTATAAGGGATGCGAGGGATCTATCCTGCTCTGCCATGTGTGGTTATTGCGTACCCCCCCCCCCCCCCCCCCCCCCCCCCCCCCCCCCCCCCCCCCCCCCCCCCCCCCCCCCCCCCCCCCCCCCCCCCCCCCCC